TGATTGTTCCAGCACAGGTTACATCAGAAAGAAACCCGAACATGGCATGAGTGATGGGAGTAACAGGTCCTTTCAGTTCTCAGAAATGGCCCATTGTCCTTGATTGTGCTCTGCAAGGATACTGGAATGAGCATCTTTTTCTAGCATCCAGTTTGCTTTGCCATCGAAAGTGCTTTTCCTCAACTGATCATTGATTTGGCTGCCCATTCAGCCTCTTTCTGTGATCACCATATGGAGTAGATGATCTCGGTTACATCATCCCCAGCCCTTCATCAGGAAAGCTCCACTTCTATCATGCGCCCGCCATTTTGCTGCTTTATGCCAAAGGGTAAAAAAAAACCAAAAACAAAAATCTAACGAAAGGACCAGTAGAGAGTATCAGTAGACTGCAATTTGTCATTGCAGGAAGTCTTATTACAAACAAAAACTAAGAAAAGAATGGAAGATGAAAAGCAGAATTTGCACAGAAAGATAGAGAGTATCAGCCTAAGCAGAGGACTGCGATAACTCGGGAATGACAGAATTCTAGCACCATATATCTTGCATACCAAACAACACTTCGAACATGCACAGATAGACTTCTACAGTTGTGTGTGATTATAACATTTAAATACCAAAAACTCATTGGACAAATACTAGAGACATTTGGTTTATTACTGTTTCTTTTTCTTGGGCCACCAAAAAAAGATTTTATCAAAGACTTCATTTAATCAAATTTCACATCTGAGTTGATAGAATTTGGATGTGAAAGCAAGAGAGAAGTTCATCTTTCAAGTAAGAACTGGAACCTTCTGATTGGCGGCTAAGTTTAGACCCTTTCTGCTTAGAGGTACGCAACTCCACACTTTTTGTGAGAAATATCAGTAACTGTAGACTTGTCTATCGTAAAACCACAATATATCGTTATCTTACAAGCCAAAATGGAGTTTCAATTGCTTAACATGAAAGAGCATATAAAGGAAATCAGTACATATTCACAACTGCAGAAAGTACTAAGGCAGCCATAACATTATTTGCGTAGCTAGACCAGTGGCAGAGAACTGTTAACACAAGAAAAAAGAAACTGGTTCTCTTAAGCTCAGATACCAAATAGAGGGTTTGCCATAGTGATCACCAAAATTGGAATAATATTTTAAGAAATGGTTAGGCTGATCTTCATCTAATACATATCTTTGTGCCGTCCAATTTTTTTAATTAAACAGAACACTAAATCCAGCCTTTCACAAGATTGTCAAAAGTAGTGCATATGGCCTGATTGTAGATTGATGCACGTACAATATCAATGCACCAAGTTGAGGGGATGGTTGTCCTCTCCATATAGGGTAAAGGGAAGCCTGAAGATAACTGCTCAAGAATGTTTTTCTAAGAGCAAAGACCAAAAGGATTATAAGTAGATCATACAAAATTTTGGATTACCCAGCTCCATGACATCTTGTCTGGAACTTTCAAAGATGCATATGTTCCGCACTTTCTCCCAAATAATCTGAGTGATACAAACAAATGATCCATACTCTCAGCAGCTTCAAGACAGAACGCTCAAGCCTCAAGAACCAGTTTAATCAAGAGCTTAGAGTGGGAAGTAGTCTTGGAATCAAGAGCTTTACAGGCTTGCTCACCACTGGACTTCCAGTTCCTTTGGTCATCAGTTTAAGAGAAAGATACTTGCCGTCACTGTATACAAAATTTGGAAGGCTAGAAATGTGGCTAGGTTTCAATCTAAGCAACAGTCAGCTGTGGGAATTCTGGAATCTATAGTAGCCACCATTCACTGCGCGGTTTTATCTTGCCGAAAAATTACTGGGACTAAGGAAAATTGGGAACTGGTTGTTAAATGGGGCTCCCTTGCAATTGCCTGTGATAGTTTTGTTAGTGGTTAGTATTAGTGTGTTATTGTATGATGTAGTAGAGTTCCATCTTGTGTAAAACTTTCTTGTTGATCTTAGTTAAAGCTCTTTCATTTTGTACCAAAAAAAAAAAAACCAATGGTGCTTGGCCCAGGTCAGTAGCTGAAAGCAGCCGAACAGAGTTAAATGATGCAAATTAAATCCATAGTCATTAAGCCTGCAGAATTGCGCAAAAGATAAGAGCATGCACATAATTCATGTCCTGGAATCATAACCAACCCTTTGATTTCCACCAGTTGCTTTTTGGGAAAAGAACTCAGAACTGCCTTCTAACACTTCATGATCCCATAATTATAATGCAACAATTATACGGAGTAATTAAAATTGGTCTACATCCTTGGATGGGGAATGTTTGTAGAAGTTGCCAGGGGATTTTTCCTCTTCTAGCCACATTACCAGTACCACTTATGGACTATTAATATGTTGTCGTCCAAGGAACATTAATCAGCTAGCTGATTTTTAATTAAATTACCAATGCAGCATATATATATATATTTTTTTTGGGTCTAAATGCAGCAACCTACTCATAATCTTACGTTACATTATGGAGGATAAAAATTAACTAAATTTGTATGAGCACTAAAGGGACAGAGAATCCAAATCCAAACTAAACAGGTGCCTTTTAATGTACCGAGCGGAATTGAACGCTGGAACATTAGACTGGCCAGAGACCAGAGGTTCAGTTCAATGCAGCATATCATTACATGGGTCACTTGTGACATGCAAATTTCCATGTAAGAGTGTACTTTAAACATATCCGAACAACTCCAAAAAAAAAATTAAAATAAAACTTGCTAACAGGAGGCACAAATGGAATTACATATCCAAATAATGATATATATATATATATGTGTGTGTGTGTGTGTGTGTGTGTGTGTATTAAATTAGTAAATCGAAATTAGGGCTGCTTAAGTAACCTGTGCATGTAGTCGATGTACATTAGCAAATAAACTATGCATGGGATAATAATAAACAAGACGATGTGCGAGTTAGATTTTATTGTCAATGGCAGCCCTGTTCCTAGAACAACAACTCAACAAAGCATAACATGAGATATAAAGCGCCTCCATATATACTAAAAAGCTCAAAGATAATGTTATCTCCTTGTTGCCAAAAGTGCCAGTCAAAGATGATATATTACCTTTAAATTAAGGGATAATTGCATAAAACTTCCCTAAGATTTTTGACAATTGCATTCACCTCCTCTGAAATTTAGAAAATAGCACTAACCTTCCTTGAATTTAAGATTTTGATAACAACTTCAGCCTATATTAGAGAAAGTGCCATTAAAAAAGTCTTTTGAGAAGTGAGATAATAATTTTGTTCTATTTATACCCTTTTTGTCTCTTGTGAGATTGTATTAGTAAAAGAATAAAAAACATTAAGAGATGGAAATAATTAGTGAAACTTAAAGGATATATGTGTAAAGAGAACAAGGACAGCAATAAAATCTACAAGAAGCAACAAACATATGCTTAGAAAAATGAGATTCTAAAACATATAGAAAGACTGTTGATCAAACAAGAAAATTCACATTTGATCAGTACAAGAGAACTTCTTATTATCATACTTTATAATATATCGATTTTACACTATTTATCATATTTCGTACACAGCTATATTCTCTCATGATCGATACAACAATTTCATCATACTATAACTAACACTACAACTTTATGTATTAAGTTGAGATGATAAAGGATTGCTTACCTATTATCTTCTGATTGTCACAGATTTTTAACAGAAAAATCCTCAAATTTTGCCTTGATTTCTACTTTCTTTCTTCTTTGGTTTCATGAATGCATAAGATGAAATAAGTTCAACCAAAACACCGAAACTTATTCTTTTATGAAGTCTTGTTTGGAGGTTTATTTCTCCTATATTTTTCTTAGTTCTGCCTCTCTTCTATGTAGAAAATACATGATTTGCATTGTGCTCTCAAGTTTTTGTCAATCACAAAATGGCACCCATGTTGGAGTATCAATAGGAGCTATTTTGTAAGTGCATTTACAGTGCCTAATGAAGCAAAAAATAACTGTTAATCTTGCTTAATTAGCTATTTTAGACTTGTTTATTGCCCTAATTTCTTTGGTCCAAATTTGTTTACTAACAACCTTAAACTCTTAGGGTATAGAAGTAAATTTATCCTATCTTATGTCAACTATAGGTCCCAAATTCATGTTAGGGGAGGTTAGTGCTATTTTCTAAATCTTAGGGGAGATGAGTGCAACTGTCAACAACCTCAGGGGAGGTTTCTGCAATTATTCCTTAAATTAAAGGAAGCAGATGATTTCAAAACTAGAAGACAAATTCCAATTATGCAAATGACAGTGTACTCCAGTCCACAGTGGGCTCACGCAGGAAAGTGAGGAAATGAGACGATGGATGCTGAAATCCGGGGAATTGGGTCCCCAGCATGATGGAATAAGTTTACAGTCAGCAACCAAGCACCTTTAATTGCTCAGCCAATGAATTTGGATGCCCACGCCGGCCAAGCAGTCCTGTTTGGAATGATTTCCAAGGAACGGTTACTGAAAGTACATATTTCTGCACCCCACAGCAGCAGTAAAAGTTCAATCTTGATAGTCTAGCCGTAGTTAATGCTTCTATACTTGTACAGGGCAAAGAAGAAAAGTTACTAACATTTAAGTTTTAACAACCGACTGATTATGCAGTCTTCTATGTAACTGTACCCAGATACCACCTTTTCTCAAGTCATTACTTGAATCTTTTATTAGGATAAGAGGAACTTGACGCTGAATCGATCTTGTGGTTTACCATTGGTGGAAGAAAGAAGTGCAAGGGGGAAAAAATGCAGCCTAATCATTAACCCTGTGTACATCTGGATGAGTTTGCTTGCAAATTTCTGTTGATGTATACATGCTTGTACTCATGTGTACAAGTCTTGGTATAATAAATTAGCTTGAAGACTTTGTGTGGCAATGAATCCAAAGAAAAGGATGTAATAGGCTACTTGCATTGTTCAAGATATGTACTTCGCTGATTAATCCAGAAAGATGAGCTATCTCAAGATTGTGACGCCGCTTTTCTTTCCACATTGATGAAGATGAGTGGGAAATGATGGAATCCGAACGCTTTAGCAAGTGGCAGCATATATGAACAAGATTTTATGATGTGATCTGCTAATTTACAAGAGGCAATTAACCAGCGTGTTGCATAGCCTCTGATACAAGCTACTAATCTTCGAAAGGTCGTAATACTCAAAATGTAAGAAATAGAAGAGTACAATTTCTGCAAGTAATGGTTCTTTTTTGCTGTAAACAGCTTGTATAGTTCGTGATAACAGCAGACTAATTTTGAGCTACAACTCATCCAAACAATGTCCCTGGAACAAGCATGCAAAAGTATACCTGCACAGCGGAATTCAGCAAAATTCTTGAAGGAACGGTTACATACAACTATCGTCAAGCTGCAGCCCCAGGGAAGAGCTCTTAATGGACAATTTGATTGCATAGACGATCCCACCACTACAAAATGATACCAGCAAATTGATTCTGCCAAAAGTTTTAACAAAATGACCTCAATGGCGGACCAACCTTGGCAAAACAAGAAGTTTAGGGATTTACTCAATCCTTTGCTTAAGCACATTGCGCAACTGCTTTTTCTGACTCTCCAAGCTTGGTTCCAAGGGCCTGGCCTTCAAACCATTCCTCTGAATCCCTCGTGGCCATTCAATATATCCTCTCATTGCTCGAGTAACGTGTGGATTTCTTTGGCCAGGCAAGCAGCAATGACCTACCAGCTCATTGTGGTTGACAGCCTCTTCGGAAAAATTTTCTGGGGAGACGGCTACGTTGGAAGAATTTGATCCATTTGAAGGCCTTCGATTCTCATCAACTGATATTGTCCTGAGAACATCAGCAACACTAGGTGTGGATCTCCAAAATTTGCGAACAGATGGTCCTTTATTTTTATCTTTCTCCATGGAGGTGAAGTTATTAATCGTACAATTTAGAGACTGCTGATTTGCATTCTGAATGTTGTGGATAGTGAGACTAGAAACATATCTGCCTCCAGAAATTCCATCCACAGAGTTTGTGCCATCTCCAAGAGTATGACTTGAATATTGATCCATACTGCAAGTCAAAATTTTCCTGAAACTGGCATTTGCTGAACTCCTATCATGATCAATGCTACGGTCTTTGGTGAATTCATTAGCTTCACAGCTGGCGTTATGAAATTTAGTGGAGTGAGTGTCGGAAAGATAACTTTGACATTCATGACTTCCAGTTTCCATTGTTCCACCATCTTGAAGATTCTCAGTGATTGTGTGTATGTCATTCACCGTAGGTGGCATGTAACGTAGCTCCTCTCTATCTTGAACGCTGAATGATTGCATTTCCAGGTTCATGCCTTCGACTTCTCTCATCTTGATCATCTCTGGAGTTGTACCATTAGTTCTCAACAAATTCTCCAAATCTGCTATCAGATTATTCATCTGGCAGTACTTTTCTTCAAGAATCAGCTCAGCATCAATTAATTTCATCTGAACACGTTCTTCACGCCAAACTTCAGCAATTTGCAGCATCTGTCTCTCTTCTTCCACTTCCTCTAGGATTTTTGCGCATTCAACCTTGATAGCTCTTATTTTGGCTTTGTGATCCTTGATGTCATTACCTAGATCATGGCATATATCCTCCAGTAACTCCCTTGCATTCTTTTCTTTCTCGTATTCTTGCTTGAATTGCTTGGCCGCTAACTTGGCATGGGTTAGATCAGTCAGCAGTTTGGAATTGACGAGATCCATCTTTTGATAGTTTTTTCTCTCCTTTTGTAGTTCGACCTTTAAGTCATTAATCTTCTGAACCATCTGCCGTTTGCTTCTCTTACTCGACTCCTTCTCTTCACTGTGCCCCTTCAAAAACTGTTTGATTTTCTTTTTAACCAAATGGCGCTCAGATTCAAGCTCTTTCACCCGATTTTGAGATCTCACAAGTTCAACTTGCAAAGCAGAAGCAACGGAGATTGTTGCAATTTGGTGACTAGTTACAAGCCTCCCATTGTTGTGAAATTGGCAAACTTCATTGGCACTCGGCGTTTTTAGACCCGCCAGCTCCCAATCTGAACCTCCCTTCATCGCAGATTTGCAAATGGACAAGAGTGGTTGAAGCAAAATACCAAGGATGCAAAGAATTGAAAGGATATCACAATTCAACAGTCATGTTCAAAATCGAAGAAAGGATTACGGCACACCTTGTTCATTACGCACTGACTCAACTTCACAATTCTTGAAAGTTGACACAACGACATAAAGTAAGATGTCAATGAAGGATATGATATTTAATGCAGCAAAGCAAGGGAGCAAATTTTAAGTTCCAATTTGTATAGAACAGAATGCTTTTAGAAATGCAGCAAGGCAAGAACCATTCAGTTAGGCAGAAACGCGGTTGGCTTGCTCTATCAAGGAAACTATAGCTCGCTAACACATTCGATCTGCATCCTCTTGAACAAGAACATGTCAGTTATCACCTTACTTCAGTCTTCATTATGATTGTATCATATCTATTACAATTGTAGATCAAGTTCAATATCAATGTATTATGCACAGTAATTCTGTTCTATACTTCTTCTCAGCATCAGATTTGCTCTTTTATTTTGAAACTTTTGATCAACCCTTTTATGCATTTACTTTCGGCTGGGCAAAAACGAAAACAAAACAATAATAGACGCATGCTACCATCCAAGAAAAGATCATCATTGCTAGATTGGATTCTCTCTGCAAACAATCTTGATTCTTGAGTAGTAGTATTTCATTTTATGAGCTACCCAATTCTTTATATTCCAAGTCTAGCTATGGAAGGAAAGAAAAATCCAAATTGGAAAGAGACACATGCTGCAAAATCCAATAGTCCCTGGGAAAGAGAGGACAACCACAAAAATTGAAACTTGTTTTGTATTGGAAACTAAAAAAAATTTTGAAACATTACATAATAAACAAAGATCAGTTTAAAAAGCATACCCCAAAACGTAACCGATTAAACCGCCCCTGCCGCGTCATACCACCGCCACCAGAGTTAAAACCCTCCGCCAAGTGCCACATCCGAGCTGCCAACTTCCTAGCTGAGACCCCTACCACAATGCCACCTCGCACCTGCCGGATCCCTTCCCCTCCGGCGGGAGCCGCAGCACCGGATACAGCACCATCTGATTTCCACTCCACACGTGGAGTGGCCAACCCACTTGCCTCCCACCTAAACCTCCTTCTAGGTCCCCTTATCGTACTCCGGTGGCCGGAGAGGTTCCCAGTTCCATCAGTCACGCGTCGCCCACGTGATCGTGAACTAAGAGGATGACCATTAACGAAGTCTTTACCAAAATCACATGGAAATTTATGGGCTCTGTCTGAAGTTTCCATGTTATTGCTTAGCTAGGCACGTATCATCTGACCTGCCATTGCACTGGAAAAAGAAAGCAAGAAAGTTTTAGACTGTGTGAGTGTTCTTGAGAAGGGGGGGGGGGGTTCTTGAGTGTTCAGGTTGACATTCATTCAACTGTGTCACTGTGTGAGTGTGTGTGTTTTCAGGGAGATGAGCCATTAGGAGGGATTAATATAGGACAAGGAGCTGGAAACCAGTTGGGTAGAGGGCACAGAAATGCATGCGGGCACATCTGATGAAAGCGATCAATAAATTCACTCTCCGCTGAGCAGCTTTCTGTAGCCTGCCTCCATAGATTTACTACTCAAGAACTAGTCACTACTGTGTTGCAAGTTGTACTCTTTTCCTTTCGGGGTTCGACCAAGTTGTTAATTCCATTCATTAGGGAAACAATCAAAACGGTGCAAGTATGACAAAAGGAGTAAAGTAACTACGTAAGATTTCAAATATATGAACGATCAAATAAGGATAAATTACTCATTACTCGTACTTTAGTATAATATCTGCATAAGCAATACCTTGAAATTTTATGTCAAGTGAAATAGATAAAAAGCATCTCTCGTTACCAGAGATGCAACTTCGAAAATAGGTAAGATTAACACTGACATTCAACTAATGATGCTACAAAAAACTAATTTTCAATTCACATAAAATTCTAGGAGGCTTTACGAGAATTATGCAGTATCAAGCAAAAGTAAAAGAGCATTATGAGTAATTTATCCTAGAAATTACGCAAAAATCATGTCTTGGTGCAATAACAAGTTCCGCCGCTTCTGTAATTGGCGAGTCTCCCATCGAAATAGGCAAAATCTACGGTTTCTACTTACCATGTTCGATTTTGGTCACAACCACCTGCGATTGCTGTGAATTTGTTGGTGTCGCAGCCCCATTACAGAGCCATTTAATTAGGTCCTGTTTCAACAACAACCAATTGGTGCAAGACATGCAACTGCGACGGGGGAGAAACTCACGGCTAGGTACTAGAGCTTTTAAAGAGTTACAACTTACAATCGAGCTACACAATCAAACATTGAACAAACACATATTTATTATTTTTTTGGTTTCAATTAGTTAAGGGTTAAATGCGCTAAACCCTGCATGTACCTTTAGTTTTTTTTTTTTCATAGACAGAAGAAATATACACACACAATTAGATTAGAAACGCTAAGAAGTCATCGTCAAATTGGATCCAAAGACCAATCTAAAGGAGACCCACAAATCAATACCATCCAGCCAATTGGTGACATGCATTTACCTTTAGTTGTCCATTTGAATTTATTAAAATAAGCACTTCGCTCCCTTATTTGTTAGTTTAAGATAAAAGCGTCATTACTATTTTATTTTGTTTCTTTTTTACTTATGCAGTTCCTTATTTTTCACTACTTTCTTTTTGTTTTTGTATGTTTTCTTCTTTTACTATTTTCATTTTTTTCACTCTTCTTATGTCACTACTTTGTTTGATTTTCCTATTAGCATTACTAATTTGTACATTTATTATAATATTGTAATTCTCTTTTACTTATAAATTCATTCTTGTTTTATTTATTTGCATTATATATTAAACAACTGAAGACAAACCGTATAGCGTAAAAAAATTAATATGTGCATGTCATAATCAAATTGGCTCGTGCATAGAAGAAATCCAAATTAACAGCCCAAATTAGCGTTTACTGGATGAACCAACATCTCTAAGCTCAAGCAAGCTATTATGTTTCTAGAAAAGATTTCAGCTAGCGGTAGGCCTGTCAACGGGTCGGATCTAGACCCGAATCCGGACCGGATCCGTGAAATTATTGCGGGTATGGATAGGGATTTAATTCCGTTTTTCGGATCCGGATTCGTTTTGTCAAACAAAAAAACGGGTTGGATACGAAATATAGTATTCCGACCCGTATTAGATCCGGATCCGGATATAAATGAATTAATAATTTAAAAAATATATATTTATCAATATAATTTGATTAGGGTGATGAATGTGAGTAAAGTTAATTTGATTTCTTTTCTTATTTGGTTTTTTCTTTGCATTAGTTAGAAATTAGTTTACAAATATATTTTTTTCTCATTTTTATTAGAAATTATAAATTTTGCTAAATTTGTGCGGGTAGACCCGATCCGGATCCGAGACCCGCCGGATCCGGATCCGGAATATAGAATAAAAGATCCGTCGGGTAAACGGATCGGATCCGGTTCCGGTATAGTAATTCGGGTCCGGATCCGGAATAATGAATTCCGATCCGGACCCGGCCCGTTGACAGCCCTAGCTAGCGGCCCCTCTGTTGATAAGAAGCACATTCTGCTGGCTGCCGTATATTTCGATGGTAGATTCACAAATTACGTAACAAGAAATGTGGGATGCTGTTTAAAGCATCAAGCTTGAGGGATATGTATAAGTAAGTAGCTATGTCAGAATTTTATTTATTTTCTTTGACTAATCCAATACCATATGTGCATGCACAGGGAATAGCTATTTCCAGACAATAGTGCTAGTGGGTGGGTTTTCTATACAGCAGCAGGGTAGCCATAACGACAGTGATCATTGGGTTCTCAGTTTCCAACACCAATAATATAATGGTGTCTCTCAAAAAAAGAGATGATGGGGGTATATGGTAAAAATGACAGCCAAAGTGGAGGTGGTGGGTTGAGGAATTAGTAATGTGGAAAACAAAAGATAGAGAATCATTTTGAACCACCATATATGGTTACTTGAAGAGGTGTTTTGTTTCGTCCTCAAGACTTGACTTAATTGATAAACAAGTTAATAAGTTTGATGGTGAGATTTCTGATTCAAATCTTTCCCTATCCACTTCTTGTAAGCCTTGGACTCCCCTAAAGAAGAAAGATAATATTGTTTATTTCGACCGAATCCTTTCTTAAAGCTACATTTCCCACCTGAACCTCATGTGTTACTTAACAGTTAATACCCTGCATCGATCGAATTTGGTAAGTTACTATGGTGCTGATAGAATTTGAGGGCCACCAATGGTTGGTTAAAATGGGGACTTGCATCATGTAAAATACGGCTCTGCCCAGTGTTTATATCTGTCTGTAAGTGAGCCCCAATTCCTCCTGATTGATTGCAATTCTTGGAAATAAGCCTCTACAATCAGATTTGATTTGATTCTAGGGTCTAATTTACATGATAACATAGGAGGAGTTCACAAATTCAAGAAGGAGATGCAATCACAATATTCCTTGCAGGGAAGTGTAAACCCTATCTTCTTTTCTCTCTTTTTTTTTTCTTTTAAATCAATGGAAAAATGAATACCATAGCTAATATTTTAATGCCATAGCAATTTCCTTCCAAAATGACAAATTTAGAAATTTTAATGTAAACTTAATTTTTGACTTGTCATTTTGAAAGAAAGCTGCTCTCTTTCGCATTGAATAATAAGACAACGTGACGAACCCCATTTGCCTAACCTACCTAAAAGCTTTACGTTATTGTGAGCAATTGCCAAAATCAATCTAGGACGAAATTTCTTAAATTCGCTCTCCTACATCCCTAAATAGCAATGTGGTTGGAAGCTTCATTGATCAGCTTTAAAGAATGAGATAAGAAGGGCCCTTGCACTTGCGGTGTTCACTCTCACTCGGTTGGTCTATAACAAAGAATGCTCATATATCAGAAATTTTTGGACGTAACTGTAGGACATCAGAATTGTCATAAAACACCTTATAGTCCTCTTTTCATCTGTGTCCTTCTAAAAGAATTAAGGGAAAAAGTCTCGAACTAATTAATGGAAAGATTTTACAGTTGAAATCCTTGTGAACTGTTTGTTTGCTCGGGTTGCTTGCTAATTTGATACTTGCACACAAGGATTTACGCAGGTGAGCGAAAGTGTCAAAGGGACAAGATTAGGTCGAATTGGCTGTTAAACATGATTGTGTAAAATTGACAATGATGTTTGACGAGGTTTTAAGTTACCATTATCAACTCGTGAAAAACTAAAATTAATTAGCCCTTTAGCTGATGATTATGTAAAGCTAAGGAGGAAAACCAAGGTAGGTGAAGAATATCAAGATTCCATTGACGTTTTCGTGTTCACATTTGTGTTTCTCTGTTTGATCTACAATAGATACCATCGCCCAACCTTTTCACACTAGGAAAACGATTAGTTTTTTCCATCATGAGTTGTTGGCTTTGGTAGACGGCTAGCTGAGGTGTAGACGAGGAAGGTTTCGTAGCAATAAACTAGAGCAGAAAAGGTCCATCTTCAGAGGATACTTCTATTGGAACGAATTAGGCTCGGACATGAAGCACAAGACTGAATATACTAATAATAATTATTCAAAATGCCAGCATATATGCTTAGTTACATGTCCAAATTAACATGTAGAAATCTTGAAAACAATTTTATCTTGGTTGAGATTGCTCTTGGTACATGTGAATTTGAGGTGATATATATATATAGCAATTGCGTCGACCCTAATTATCCTGAATAGTTAGTTAATTCACAACAAAGTAGAATAGATCTTAGAAGTACAAACAACGAAGTGGACTATATCTTCTATACTAAGTTGCATTAGAGACAATGCAAGGGAAGAATTGTTCTACGTACCTTGATTGTTAATTAGGTGAATCAACTTAAAAAAGCTTTCGGTGAATATCTATCTGGAATTGCAAATGATCTTTGAAAATTTCCAACATCTAGACATCATCCTTCCTTCTAGGAAATCAACATTGAATATTGGAAAAGGCTTCAGCCTCAAGTATCAAGAGCCATGAAATAGCTAGTAGCTAGCCAAGCCAGCTCTACGTGTCCAAGCTCAAGCTATTTCTTGAAGCCTATCCCTTCAACCTCAATCCTCAAAGGGACCGACACAGGCAATTGGTCAACTAATTAACCATCTTCTTGTCTTGGTGGCTTAATTCTTCAAGCTAGCTGGTCCTATTTCATACCACCTCCCATACATATCCAATATTTTACCAACCCTGTTTCCTCCTCCTCCTATATATCCAAACACAATATGCAGCTCCACTTTCTCCCCTCTCTTTGATCTCTTCCCCGCATCACTTGTTTTCTATATTCCCAGCTATATCATACATGCCTCAAATCTTTAGTACAAAAATAGGTACTCAAAATATGGGCAACTGTCTAAAACTCAGAAGGCGTAAAGTGTCATCAATGGCATGGGCTGGTGATGACTGGGATTCCTCCGTGGCACAAAAAAAATATGTCCCAGAAAACCAAAGCTTACTCGATGATGACCATAACCCGGGTTTCTCATCATCATCATCATCATCTTCTTCATTTTCCAATGGGAGAGAAATAAAGATTAGGATTACCAAAAAACAGCTGGAGAAATTGCTAGGGGAAGTTGACGTGGGCGAAATGCCGGTGGACCAAATGTTGTCGAGGCTGATTAATGCTAGCGATCAACATTTTCAGGTTCAAAATCAACAGCAACGGTGGTCATGGAGGCCCCGTCTTCAGAGCATTCCTGAGGTGAACTGAGACTTGATGCTTGGTCTCATGTCGATCACCAATATTTAACATAATATTGACCTCACTTGTCAATTTCACCACTTGATGTTTGTAGCCAGCCAACTTATGTGTCAATTGTTGTTGTTTCATTTGATTGATGTACATATCTCACGTGTCTCAAACTTTGTGGATATGATCAAATAGTGGTTCATTTATTTGTTCTAGAGTACAGCTACCATTTTTAGCCCTGATCAGTATGATGGCTTTGGGTAACTCAATTGCTTCAGATGTCCACTCATTAAAGTTAAAAATTATGGGAAAAAAAAAGTCAGGAGATTTTTTTTTTTATCAGAACGAAATATAAAGACAAGAAGCATTTTCTCCCAACATGGTAATATGTTTGCAAATCAAATGCTAAAATAAGCAGGACAAAATGGACATGGATTGGAACAGTTGCAAACTTCAATTTGTATCTTCACGCACATATGAGCAAGAGATTGGCGCTCAAGATCCTGGAATGGAGTAAAACTACCGATTAAGCACTGCTTAGCTTTTCTGTTTGCAGGCTTTCTTGTTGAAGAACTTGGCCTGAGATTTCAGAGTGTGTTGGACATCCTTAACAATGTATTGGAAAATGTATCTTTCTGTATGGGGAGACTCTCCCTCGTCATGAGAACCTTCCAAGGCATTCAATTTAGATGAACCCAAATCAGCTTTTTCTTTTTTTGCTTTTTCCTCTTCGATTTTATGTACCACTTGATAAGCAGAAGAGATCTGATGAAAAGATCAGATTGAAGTAGTTAACAAGGAAAAAAAACGGATTGAAAAGAAACTGTGAAAAAAAATCTATTTGCAAGCCTCATGGTCCACGTACCATCTCTAGTGCTCAAGGTCCCCCCATTCACTAGCAAAATCATTTATTGTCACACTTTGTATTGTTCTTCCCCTCCATTTGCTTCAACTTGGGGAAAGATGGAAACCGTTTTGGCTGCTTTGTTGTTTGTCCATTTATTATGGAGAATTTTTGGTATCTCAATATCTCAGATTGTGCTTGTCCTGTATTTGTACGTTTTGATTCCCATTTTTCTTTCTGTCCGTAATCTTTCCTTAGTTTCACGTTCTACATACCACTTTTCATTTTTCTCTGTTGCTCGAAATTCTGGAAAAGAAAACCAACTTCTCAAAAGAAGAAATCAAGAACTTTTCCATCAGCGTGACCGGATTTGTGTTATAGTTTGCTTCATATGTCGAAATCTTTTATTTACATAAAATGCACTTTTGGGAACTAGAAAAACATGCATGAAATAGTGCTTAATTAATAAGGCTTATTAGACACTAATTTCATACTAGCATATAATTAAAAATCAATATTCTTCTTCACAATTATGGTAGGAATCGTGCATTATGAACAATATTTATTACCATGAGATTGCAATGAATGTTGTAAAAAGAGGCAATAAAGGTTAGTAGGTTTAAATATTTGGAAAAAAAATTAATCCTTCTGAAACAGTCTATTGGCATGTTACTCATGCATATGCGTGATATTTTGAGGTAATTAAAAAACCAAAATGAACTATTATTAGAAAAGCATGTAGAGACACACTACTGATATGTATTATAATATTTTCTCTTCCAATTTCATTTATTCTCCTATCACTAAAGAGGAATTTATGATTGGATTGTCCATTAATTTAAGTTATGTTCGGATTGCATTTTTCATGGAAAAATTATTGTAGCGATTTGATGTATGTGAGGGAAAAAAGTAATAGGAAAATGTGATCACGGAAAACAACGTAATTTTCCGACAGAAAGTTGCAATCCCTTCTTTTATCACTGTTGTTTTCTCCTTCACTCACTGATCAATCATCTATTGATAATAAGGCGCTGTCTATATCCATTGTGGAGTATCAACATCAATCTTCACTTTCTTTGTAGTGATATTTCATTTTCCCACCTTCGATCTGTTGGTAAAAAAGGCCATATTTGATATTACAGCCTGCAACTTTACTGCTCTTGCTTTAGTCTTATTCAAGTCTTTTAGTAACCAATTACAATTTAATTGAGTACGCACATATAGTATCTATTTTTTTTAACCCAAAAGAAAAAGATATGAACTTTGCCCTGAGCTCTAATCTTGGATACTTGCATCTTAACTTTCATTTCAATCTAACTTTGACCACTTCAATTATTATTGATTGAGAAAATTGATGAGTTTTATGGAGGTGAAAAACGTTAATTAGTAGATCAAGTTTCACTTTGCACCCTTTTTTTTTTTTTTTTTTTTATAAGTTGTTTCCACTTTACACCCTTAACTCTAATTTTCGAACATACTACGCTACCTAATTTTATTTGAACTTATTATAGTTACAGAATTTTTAAACATACAATAGGCAGACATATAGATTTTTACTTAGGACTTGGAACCAACTTTTTAAGATTATATTCGTACTTTTAAAAATTTTCTATTATTACGAGAAAAGTTTTAATTGAACCACAAAAAAATGAGGTGCAAATACCTAAGTGGGGAATAGGGAATGGTCTTAATTTAGCTATGATAAAGAGTAAAAGCGTAATAAATTTTTTCATAAATGATTTATTTGGGAATAAATAAACATATTTAACTTATTATTAATAATTTGATAAAGTCATAATACTACAAGATAATCAATTACGATAAGCATAATTTAAATCTGAGTTTAAAACGTGATGACTGGGACATTGAAGGTCTAATCCTACATGAAAGTTGCTGGTGTAGCTATCTATGCATTCATTCATGCCGTATTAATATTATTCATTCAATCATGTGTTGCTATCACCGACAAAAGAATTATGTAGCAATTTTTTTTGTAAAATTAGCATAGACAAGGGTGTGCCAAATATTAGATAAAAATATATATACGTATGCCGACTGTAGATTGAAAGTATTTTGTGAAAATAGGTTAAAATTAGGGATTATTGCAAAGTGTCCACATATGTTTTTGGGTGCAAAGTGGAAAGATTATTCCTCCAAAATATTTTCTTGACTTCACTAGAAATTAACTTAACAATAATGTTTAGAAATTAAACTAAAATGGGATGAAATAAATAAATAAAAAAAAATTTACAGTACAATGGTATAGATTAGAAATAAAGGTGTAAAGTTCGATTCAGTAATAAGTTAGAGGTGCAAAGTGAATTTAGTCCAACTATCTTTTTCCTATCTCAATGTGAAAAGAGAAAAACAAAACATGAGTTGAAAGTTTTCAAAGTGAATGAAGAATTGGAGATAGAGAGAGAGTTACTGACTCTAATAGTGTTTTCCAATTTTAACCAATAGTCTTATTTAGTCGCTTTCAACTTTTAAAAGTATCTATTAGATCCCTCAACTTATAAATTTTTGTTTTACATAATATGTACAATTCACATCTAAATAAAATTGTTTTCATTTTGTCCCCTAAACTTTGATTTAGTGTCTATTTTTCTTCCTCTAAATTTAGAGATAAGGCATAAGTTAACTAATTTGACTAACCAAAAAAAAAAATCCAATACTATCTTCTTAACGATTTAGAAAAACTAAAAGTAAAAAAAATAAAAAATTACTCTTTAAACAATAACAAGCTTAAATTCACGTGTTATAAAAAAACTAACTTTATTTATTGTTATTATTGTCGTTATTATTATTATTATTATTTGATTTAATGTCTAATAAATCGATACACACACATACGCCATAATCCATGAGGAATAAGAATAGATTTTAAGCTAAATTCATAGAGTGTTGTTTTGCTTGTATCAATATTATATTTTTGTGTAGTCAATGTAATAATGAAAATGATAAATCATGATACTGAAAAAAAATGACCAAAAGATAAATAAATAGATATTCCAAACGTCAAAAATTTTCTACTGTGCTCTATTCTCTTTTATGTACGTATATTTCAAATAATCAATCCATTTTTACAAATTTTGTCATTATTAGAGTTCAAATAATTTGATTAATCCCACCATAGAGCAATAATATTCACAATTAAATATTAGAACACTATATGATATGCTTAGATAAAATTTGTAAAGCAATTGCTTTATCATTTTTTCATAGTCTAACTTTCCAATTACTCAATATTTACCCAAGCCATTAAATGAGAAAATTTGACTGGTTTATAAATTTTGGAAGTGCCAAATTAACATTAATCTAAATAGTAATGGCTAAAAGTGAATATTGCTCCAATTGAATTTGGCATTGGGAATTAATTAAAACTAAATTCAGAAGCTAAAGGATTTAAATTGACACTTTCAAAGGTTAACGGACTAACCAAAGATAATTGGTAAAAGTTGGGACCCTACCGAAGTCATTTAGGTATAAAGATGGATAAAGATAACAAAAGAAAGTGACGAAGACAATTATGTCCATTGAACAAAAAAATAAAATAAAATTACAAAATTACAAAAACAAAATTGGACTTTGAGCCTGTGATGGGCTGGAGAAAAGTCAACCGACTACAGGTCTTGTGACTGCTGCTCTGATCTGATGAATATCCATCTTTCGGTCGATCCTCCATCAAAGTTGAGCTGGATTACGCCATTTTCCGCGTGGGGTTTTTAGCTTTGAAACCCAAAAATAATCAAGAGATTTTATTTTACTTCCCCCTGATCCCTACTTGCGATATTTTCCAAAGTTGCAATCTTTATCCTTGGATGCTCCAAAGTTCAATCATTTCCGCGAAATTTCAAGAAATCCCATCAATAAAGTCTCAAGCTTGATCTGAAATTCAATAACTTGTCTGAAGAAATGGGTGGTTGTTTCAGCAAGAAAAAGTACCCCCAATCAAGTATTAATGGGCACAGATCAGGAGGTGGTGCAGCAGCAGCAGCCACCACCACAGCATATCAGCAGAGCTACCAAACCAATCAAAAACAGGCCGTCCAATACACTCCTCAGCCACATCAAGCAGAGAGGTTTTATCAGCCGCAGCCACCGTCATCTGTTCCTGCAAAACCTTCAGCGCAACCACCCCAGAGGCCAAGGCCTGCTCAGAGGCAGGAGCCAAATACAATTTTGGGGAAGCCCTTCGACGATGTGAGGGCCCACTACACCCTTGGCAGAGAGCTGGGTAAGGGTCAGTTTGGGGTGACCTATCTTTGTACTGAGAATGCAACTGGGCAAAAATATGCCTGCAAGTCAATATTGAAAAGGAAGCTTGTGAGCAAAAATGATAAGGAGGATATGAAGAGGGAAATTCAGATAATGCAGCATTTGAGTGGACAGCCTAATATTGTGGAATTCAAGGGTGCTTATGAGGATAGGCAATCAGTGCACATTGTTATGGAACTTTGTGCTGGTGGGGAGTTGTTTGATAGGATTGTTTCTAGGGGACATTATTCTGAGAGGGATGCTGCTGAACTTATCAGACAAATTGTGAATGTTGTCCACATTTGTCATTTTATGGGTGTGATGCATAGGGATCTCAAACCTGAGAATTTCTTATTAGCAAGCAAGGATGAAAAGGCAATGCTAAAGGCAACTGATTTTGGGCTCTCTGTCTTCATTGAAGAAGGTGAGCTTCTTGTGCACTTTGTAGTTTATTTAATTAAGTCTCAGTGACAAAAAATTTGATGGATTAGATTTCCTGTTGTCGTTCCTGGATTAAGACTTTCCATATTTATGGAGACAGATAGTTATTCTATATGCTTCCTTGATTGTAGACTTAGTGATACGTGTGATTTCTGTGTGCTACGATACCTACATGGAAGCTGTTTCTCTGAGATAATCAATGGCTATAATCCCTTAAATGTCTATCCTTGCGGGATGTTTTGCATCTTTAGATTCACTATGTCTTCTAATTCTTTTGTTAAAGTCTTAAACTCATTGTCCTATGAGCAGATGTCCTTCAAGTTGCATCCTTGCATAGATAATTTGGTCAACCTCTGAGTTGTTCAGTGTATGTTATTCAGTTTTCTTATACTAGGAAAGTATGTACTCATGGGCTTATGTAGATGACAAGTTGGTTGGTATTCACGTTTCAACATTAAGAGATTGTTGTTGCCATAAATAGCTGCACTAAATCCGTTCAAATAGCCCCATAAGGTTGGAAATGAAGGCTCCTTTAGTTGCATCTGACTATGTGGAAATTTTCTTCAATGAGTTAATAGCTACTTTGGTCACAGTTCTTTATAGATAGTATGAAATTTACTAAAAGTATTATGTTATATGAACTAATGGCAATGTTTTAAATACTAAAAAATATTTGCTATTACAAACTTGTAGCAATATTCTGGTAGGACGTGAGATTGAATTGGAGGTAGATTGAAATGCTGGTGTAACTTGTGCATGCATAACAGTTATCATTAAAATTCAATATGTACAGGTCATTTCTTATCTCAAACATCAAAAATTCTTTGTGAAGAACTGGAGAGAGAACTGTTTTCATTAACTTTTAGAACAAGACCCAGACCCTTGATAAAAATCTGGAAAGATAAACCATAATATTTAGTAGTCTAATGCTAACAGAGTCATGATCAATGTGGAGTTCTTTTCCTCCAATAAATAAACCAAATAAGGAATTGAGTAACACTATGATCCTAAGTTTGTCTTAGAAAAGTAAGTAATTATGAAGTCATGATATAACTAAAATGCATTCGGCTAGGGATTGGCAATATAACAATGTTAACAGGTCCTCTGTTCTGGATCGTTGGATATCTGCTGCATCACTTGGGGTCAAATGGAAGTGCTTTACTGGCTGCAGCTTCTAATAACTTGAGCTACTTTCAAATTTCTAATTTTAGTCATAGTAAAAACTTAAATATGTACCTCCGCTAAACAAACATCAACATATCCTGCACTTCAGTGTATGTCATGGAACAGCTTCAGAAGATGCTATGGTTTTGTTTATCCTAGAATCCTCTATTTTCTCTTTGTCTATGTCAGAGGTACAATACAGTTAACCAACTCAAGTATCTTTCATATAAATCAGACATATGCTCCACTTCTAGCATTCTTCTTACTCAACTGCTTGCTAAGATCATAATCATTATTCACTTTTTGTATATCTATTCTGATCTTATTAGTTGTTGAATAATTGGTCTTATGATATCTAATCAAATTTCACTTTACATATCTCAGGAAAGGTCTACCGTGATATAGTTGGTAGTGCATACTATGTTGCTCCTGAAGTATTGCGCCGTAGCTATGGGAAAGAAATAGATATTTGGAGTGCTGGTGTTATTTTGTATATTCTACTTAGTGGTGTACCTCCATTTTGGGCTGGTAAGGACAATAGCATTTTCCCTGTATGTTGCCTTTTGATTCATGTTTTACTGTCTTTCTCTGACACATATAATATTTTGTTATTTTTGCAGAGACTGAAAAAGGAATATTTGATGCCATACTGCAAGGGGAAATTGACTTTGAAAGCCCGCCATGGCCATCGATTTCGAATATTGCCAAAGACCTAGTTCGCAAAATGCTGACCATGGATCCAAAAAAGAGGATCACTTCTGCACAAGTTCTTGGTATTCTTTTGTTTGCAAGCCTTGGAAGTTACATATATTAAACAAATTTCATAAATAATGTTTAAATAGTATGCACATGGTGCCTGGTTGAATGTTTTATGTATCTTACTGGGCAAGGTAAGCTGATTTGAGTCTTAGACATGTTGATCATCAACCATCTGCATCATTTCACGGTATGATTTTCTAGAAAACTCATTATGGTAATTCTTGGTACACATTTTAGCAAATGAGAATCGATGTTTATGAGTTATGACTGATAAGATGCTAGACCATATTTCATATAAATCTGGAGTATGGCTTCAATTGGGGATGAAATAAATTAGCTTCAACAAAAATTAGCTATGTTCAGAGACTGACAAACATGCTATAGGTAATGGAAAGGTTTTCAATCTAACCTGCAATACTAGTGAGAGGACCATGGAAGTCGAGACCAGATTAGGGATGGATCTATCATCTGATGAATGAGTTGATATATTAGAGAAGCACACATTAGCTGATTTCTCAGGAAACAGGGATGAATTTCTCTTCTTTCTTTTTAGTTAAGTTTTCTTCTATATTGGTTGCCCTGAATATCCTGTATCATATATATGCGTTTGGGCCTAATTAATGTACTTTGTTATTTTCTTGTTTAGCTCTTATCTAGTCTGCTTGTTTTGCTTCTTTATGCTAATATAAGTTCATTACTCATTTCCATGTATTTCTGTTTTTCTTTTCTTGCCAAAATTAAAACTTAATCAGATTCATTAGCTATATTTTGAAATGCATTCCATAACTTTGAGTGCCTTTTTCTATTATCTGCTTGATAACATGTGGTGCATGATTACTCCTGAATTAACTTTTTAACGTTGTTTGCTTTGTCTATACAGAGCATCCATGGATAAGAGTAGGTGGAGAAGCATCAGATAAGCCAATTGATAGTGCAGTACTGTCCAGAATGAAGCAATTCAGAGCAATGAACAAGCTCAAGAAACTCGCTCTGAAGGTGATCTACAGTATTATGTTTCTTGTCGAACATAAATGGACCAATCACTCTAACTAGAAAGACTCTGAATCATATTCAATTAAAATAACTAGACACCCTGTTAACCTGTCGATAACCTAAGCTTTAGAAGGCTCCCCATATGTTTCATTTACTGTAGAATAAGGGCTTCTTAAATGTAAAATTCCTACATATCTTTCGGACACTGATATAATTGAGATTTAGTTCTTGTTTAATCCATTGAAGGAGAGAAATCTTCCCACAAAAATCTTCATCACTTGTTAGCTGTGAATTGATGCCAATGGATCTTCAAGATTGTGTACATGGGACTCATCTGCCTCTGTGCTTGTTAATTTCCATTTTTAATATACCACAGGTCATTGCTGAAAACTTATCTGAAGAAGAAATCAAAGGTCTTAAAGCAATGTTCACAAATATAGATACCGACAATAGTGGCACAATTACTTATGAAGAGTTGAAATCTGGATTAGCTCGACTTGGATCTAAGTTGTCAGAGAACGAAGTGAAGCAACTCATGGAAGCTGTAAGTAACAACGCATTCAGCTAGAAGTAGATCAGTTGACTTTTTTGCAATTCATCTTCTTTGTTGGTTACACCCTACGATCATATATCATTCTTTATTTCAGGCTGATGTGGATGGTAATGGATCCATTGACTACATTGAATTTATTACTGCTACAATGCACAGACACAGGCTTGAAAGAGATGAGCATCTGTATAAAGCATTCCAGCACTTTGACACGGATCATAGTGGGTGAGTCAATATAATGGTCAAACTTCTCGGTTTTGTTACATGCATGTGGTATTTAGTTTGAAACTTCTGCCAAGTGCCAACTCTAGCTGCCCCAGAAGCACACCTAACTGTTTGGAAGAGCTTTGAGAGTTGTTAGAAATTTTCTTCATTTATTTCTTGGAGGACAGACACTTTATCCTGATTAATTGTCCACCTAAATCATCTTTCCTCATGAGCTGCTTTTGAAATATTAGTGACTTTTGATTATTATTGGTGTGATAACAGCTTTATCACGAGAGATGAACTGGAGTCTGCTATGATGGAGTATGGAATGGGTGATGAGGCCACCATAAAGGAAATTATTTCAGAGGTGGATACAGATAATGTAAGTGTCCTTTGATTCTCATAAAAAACATTTCACAATCGATTTTGGATCGAATTGTAGCATAATCTCTGTTGCACTTTACAGGATGGGAGAATCAATTATGAGGAGTTTTGTGCAATGATGAGAAGTGGAACTGCAGCACAGGGGAAGCTCTTCTAGAACGTAAGCACTTGACCTCTCAAGGGAAGTTCTACTGATTTGCTAGGTACAGTAAGAGAGGTCTGCTGGTAAAAGGGCTATTTGGCCTGAGGACGCATGAGTCAGCAAATTTTTTTTTTTCTGTATCTTTCGCCAAAATTGTGTATCGAAACGATTGTAGTTAACACAGAATGAGGCCTATAGTTTGGATTTCTTCTGGAGTAAATCGCAGTTGTGCATATTTGGTTGAATAATAACGTTGTGGGTTTCTCTACATATCACTGTGTTTCACCCAAATTTTACATTGTCTTCAACTGGGGTATATTGTTTAAGGTTTATAAGGTTGCATGTGAATGATATGCTTGAAATGATCAGAAGAAATGCTGATGGCTGTCTTTCAGATTCAACATGGGGAGAGAAATTATGACTCCTCACTTTGTAGTTTGTATCAGGCAAATGCAGCAAAATAGGAATTGCAGTAGTTTGTCCATCATCTTTACCCAGAAGTGGGAGGCATTATAGGTTTCCTTCCATCTGATTAACCAATTTCCATGACTCATTCATTATAACCCAATGAAATGGGAGGAAAAAAAAATTTACTAACAATGTTACATAGGAGCAAAGAGATTGAATGACTAAGATAATCAATCAATTTTGGTAGTTTATAAAAGAGAGAAAAACGATCGATGTTGTTAAATATACACACAGAGCACTTGCACATATCTTGTACTTGGGTTCGATCTTTAACTGAGTATATTGCAGCCCAAGCCTAGTTCTAGGACCAAACAGATTGAGCTCAGTCTAACCAATCCTATTAACAGTCCTAGATAGGACCCTTAAACAAGCGTATTTCACAGACCTCTAGGGAAAAATGGGAATCAGTTTAAAGCTGTCAGAAACATTTTTCCAATATCTCAATTCTAAGTTCCATGAAAGGCCCTCACGACTTTACAAGATTCCACATCTTGTAACCTGTTCTGTATTTCATTTTTAAGTTTGTCCTTTTTCCAAATGTGTCAACCACCCATCCTAGAACTTATTCGTAGAGTACTGGTCTATTAAATTTAATTCCTTACCCTTTAAGGAGAAGGATAATATGCATTATTTATCTGTTACAAATACACTCGTAAACAGTTTTTTTTTTCTCTTTTTTTCGAAGAAAGACTCTAAATTTTACAAGAGGAAAGGAAAAAAGAGAGTATTTTTTGAGACCTCACGATCGCTCGATCAATATCTTTACCCACTAAATTGAATACTAGGCATCACTTGGCAATGTTCAGGTAAATGGCATAAAGAACCACTTAAGGGTAGATTGGCATTTAAAAATTTGAATAACATAACATGAAGTGTTCAATGAATTTTGCTGTGTTGGATCGTGAACAGTTTAGGGGTGAACTCATCTTAAACATTAGTTGGCTTAAGATGACAAGTGCACAAATGAAGAATCCGAGGGTAAGTTTGATATTCCCTGACACAAACTGCATTAGGACAACCATTTAGGTTAACTATTGCAGGTGAGGAATATATTTTAAGCTCGAATGCTTTGCGCAATAAGCATACGATCGTGTGCAAGAGCTTTCTTTATTCTGGGAAAAAGTATCATTTCCCATAAGCCCGAGAAAGACAGCACAATTCAGTCTTCTCTACCTTGATTAATTATTGGTATAGCAACTTTCCCACATTAACATCTAACATTTTCCTATCAAGATCTTCAAACAAATCCCAAAAATAAGCTTATTAACAAAAAAAAAAACAATACAAGGATACACTTAAAGACCTATATTGAATGGAAGTATAGAGTGATGAGCATGTTCATTTCTCAAAACACAAGAACAAAAGATAGTAGGGTTCATGAAGTAACAATCTTCTTGATGGTTAGGTGAATTGGTGTTAGTATACAATGAATGTGCAAGTTCGAGTGATTATTTGTCCACGACAATTTCAAACGCTATTCTTGATTTCAGTACAAAGCTATAAAATCTGTTGTATTAAATTTGGCCAAGTTGCTTGTCTCTTAGTCGAGAAGTTCGATAAGCACCACTGTTATAGCATGTTATGATTAGCCTCGGATGCTCCTAGCATGTCGATTGTTGTGCCTCCAGCCACTCTCCATGTACTCAATCTGTCATTACCTACGCTATCTTATTTAATTAGTAGCACTAATTCTCTAGCATTTTGTTGTTCTAACACTAAACAAAACCTTATTAATTGTTTATTTTATTTCAATCATGTTGATATTCATATGTACGGTGATATAACTTGACTTCTTTTTCGTCGTAACGACATTAATTTTTAATAAGAGAAACAACAATAATAGTACGAAGATTAACTTCAAATTGTTTTAAAAAAATATTAAGTACACCATGTGCACTAATCGCTGCCTTCTCAAATTGTTCTAGGTAGGTCAAAAGAGCTGCAATTTTCTTCTTTAGCCCCTTGTGAATATTTAGACAGACTTTTTAGAGTCCAAATTTGTTATGCATGAAAGCATTTGTCTCTTTGGAACATTAGAGTTTCTTTTTTGTTATGACAAAGGTGCATCACAAGGTCTTCTTTATCTCTTCCGGCCATCTAGCAAGACCAAGACCATCTGCACAATGATTCATGGAAAATTGCTACTAATAGTTGAAGTTTAGTGAATCAAGAGGAGAATTAAGCATATTAAAAACCGCCCAAACCGATTTCTTCTTAGATAACTAGTTAAACTTTATGGAGTAAGATGAAATGGTAATAAAAACAGTATTATTTCTACGTAAGATGGTTTTAAGGTAAGATGTTACACAATGAAAATCCAACCATTTTAACAGTTACAAGAATCTCTTTTTTGTGTTTACACGTAAAAATATCTAATGTAAATAATCGTAGTACCATCAATCCTAGGAAGAGCACATGGCATTGCATGCAGCCTCCCACGGCCATCGGCCTCATTTACGAAACTGATACATCTACCAAACAAAAACGCTTACCGTTTTTCTGATCATTAAAAGTTCTATTTCCATCTACCAAACCAAAAACACTTAAGAACTTCATGACATTCTTGGGGCTGATCCATCTCTCTAACTGCAACTTCAGCAGCAACCATCATGCAATAGCAAGCAAAAGTCTTTATTCATTATCCATCTAGCTTTTGTTAGCTCCAAAAAAAATACAAATAAAAACCCCACCTCGGTTTAGATTCTAGATTAGACTTAGCCTCTTTCTCTTAGTCTGTGCAAGTTGCTCTTTGTTTATCCCATCTAACATTTCTTGTCCCATTGCTGCACTATACTGCAAGTGAATTTTCTTCTCCAGGTTCCGACTTCTGAGAGTTAGGATTTTGTCTCTGATTATTTATTGAGAACGTAAGAATGGTGGAGCTTCAGTCTCGTGCAAGCTTGGTGAATGCATCTGCGTTACGTGCTATAGACAGTGAAGTAAAGGGTGACAGTTCTGTCAATCTCGTTGCTGAGATTTCAGCTGAGTTGCAAAGGGAAAAGCAGAAAAATGCTGAACTTATGCAGAGAATAACTATACTTGAAGCCCAAACAAGAGAAAGAGATAATGGCCCTTTGGTTTTTTGTGGACAAGTAAGCTTGCCCAACTCAAAACATTCATCATCATTTCTCTGCTTAATCCGCGATTGATCAAGTGTATGTTGTTTTCGCTTGTATGATTGCACATGGTTTCATCTGAGGACTTTATTGTTTCAACATTTTCTACTATTGATAATCAGTTTTGTTTTCCATAGTACCTTGGACGAAATTAAAATAAGAAATTTCTTTGATAACCATAACCAAGAAACATCTGTGTATGCGAGGTTAAATTGTGAGACGACAAACTAGCACACTATGCAATAGGATCAATAAAATTGAGACCGCATTGACTGTAATGTCTATGCAAAAATGATATTTTTCCTTTTTCAGTCTTCAACCTTTACGCCCTGGCCTTTGTTTCACTGAGTTACAAGGAACCAAAAAATAATTAAATGAGCTAGCTTTTTAGAGTTTAATTAATATAAGTTGTTTTTGAGTATAAAGTATTGTAGAGAAATAAATTTATAACTCTTATGAAGATAAATTTTTCATTTGTAGTTTGTTGAAACTCCATAGCTTGTCACAAGCATTTAATGATTTGTATTTATGCTGACAATTCTCATATTAGTCGACACTTCCAAACAATGTCATGACAGAAACTGATTGATTGACAGAGAAATTGTTGACTTTCAAAATGTGATACAAGTGAGTTGGTGCTATATGTTAATTAATTCATAAAATTCTTAGATTAACTTTTTTTTTTCAGTATTTTGTGCATCCTAGTTGCTATTTGATGATTATTGACTGATTGAAGAGGTCCTGAGATTCTATGATGAGCAATTCTGGCTTCTGTTATCTATTTGCTTTCCTCTTTTCAATCTCAACTGTAGGATTATTGTCGAAAGACTCAAAACACAGTTGAACACATGTCCAAGAGACAGAAGGTAGAAACAAATTCAATGAAACCTGAAGGTGAAGATATCAGGGTGGGCTCATACATGAAGCATAATAGCCAATGCATGCCAGATAAAGACGTGTCTATGAAAGAAGGCATAGTCACCTGGATGGGCATGGATGAAACTGAATTTTTGCAGTCTGAATTCCTGAAAGGGAGTGATTCTGCTGCAGAGTTTGAAGATACAGATGACACTGGTGATGAAGATGGTGAAGCGGATGTAATAAATAGTTTTGGCACTGACCCAAAAAGTAAGGAAAATTCCAAAGAATTAACTTGTGCTAAAGAGGTGAAAGAAATTCTTTTGAAACAGGAAGTTAATGGGGAAGGAGATACACAAAATGTGGCAAGTTCCTCAAGCAGTCAGGGGAAGCTGATGTCTGCTGCACGTGTAGACAAACAAGTTCATGAGTATGTGATAGAGAAAAGGTTAAAATCATGTATGAATCCTATTGCTAGCTCAAGGGAATGTGATCACCAATATACAAAAGAAACAATCATGACTGGTGGTCATGGGTATACATCATATTCTTGTACCCCTCGAGGGGAGATCAAAATATGTGACAACATGTTTCTACAGAAAAAGCCTCCTAAGATAGCTTTCTGTCCAAAGGAGGTCAAGAGAATGATACAGTCAAAACAGCTCTTGGTGAAAAATGCTCAGTCTCACACTGTTAGGAAGATCATAGTCTTTGCATCCCTTGGCACAAGACATGGATGTGAAGACATGTATGAATTAGACTTCAATCATTTTAGCATTTTACGGAAGGGGGAACCATATTTGTCCCCCAAGGATCCTGGGGTAAGCTTTCTTTTATTAATTGTGACTTCAGGTGTTCCATG